ATTTTTATTAAAAAATAAAAATAAAATGTAATTGAGATGAACTTTGGAAGCTTTGCGAGTTCTAGATAATTCATTCTGCTGAGTTTTTAAACATTTTTCCCAAATTACGAAGTCACTGTTTCAATTAACCTTTCTTCCTTTTTTTCCTCTTAATTACAGGTTGCTGGTTGTGTAGAAGGTATAGATAAATAAATTGACAAAAGCTTTACTGATAGAAGATCAATATATTTAATTTTCACACAATACTAAGCTAACAAGCTGATAGTCTTTTTGTTGACTATCTCCTAGCCTCAGGTCACGGTTGCCAGTAGTCTAACCCTAACCTAGGAGGCAAAGGTGAAGATAACTCTTTTAATTCTATAAAGTTCAGACATAACAAAAACAGAATAAGTACTTACAAGAGCTACTTTCATTTGATCCTGTAATTCTCTTTCTTGGGCCTGAAACTTCTTGACCAATTCTTGCTCTTTGCTGATCAGCTCCTTTTCATGCAGTTTCTGTAATTTAGCAATTTGTTCTTCTGAGGATTTCTGAAAACAGTCAAATAGACAAAGTGAAAATAGCCAGTAGAAAATATGTAACTCTACAAACTAAATAACACTTTATTACAGTTTAACCAAACTAATAACTTGTTAGGAAAAACTAGAGCATATTCCCTGATACACATCAAAAGTCACCAAAGCCACAACAGTTCAAAGAAATTCCATAGTATTTTACTCTTTCTTTAAGAAGGGCTAATCTTGTGGATGTTGCCTATGAGGCTGAAGTTTCATCTCTACAATGTGCAGGGAAATTCCCCACTGGCCTGATAAGGAAGCATAGTGGGCAGGGAAAAGGATGCTGTCAGAGAAGGTACTTTACCACAGCCACACTGTCCCGACTGCACCAAATTAATTACGTCTTGCTTTCTAGGCATGAAATATTTGTTAATGAGCTATTGGCCTCATTTTTTTAAAAGAAAAACTCAATCTTACACAAATGTCAAAAGTATAAATAAGCATAAGAAGTAAAGCCATGCTGTTATGTTGAGCTGTAGGGGACTCGGGTCAACAATTTCTGACATTGCCAGTCAAGCGGAAGACCCAATACTATTATGGACTGCTGGACTCTTTTAGAATATTCTGCTGAGTTAACACACCCATAATATTCAAATAACGGAACTAAACAAAAAAAGGGGATACAGATGAATGTCCATTTTGTATCTGTGTACTCAAAATGATTAGGATAGATATATAGTTACATTCTCTTAATGAATAGAGGGATTTGTTCCAATAATGTTTGTAAATAGGATATCATGTCTGCATCTTATACAGCAATTAACCACTAGGAAGAATGTATGCAATGTGTTAATTATTGAAACTGTCTTACCAATTTGGTTTGAAACTGTCTCATTGCTATTTGTTTCTCAATAAAATTATGGGGGGAAAAAAAAGCCTCATGAAGCCCTAGGTGGGGCTTTTCAGAGGCAGCTGAATCTAAAATAAATAAACTTTACTCATGATAAAAAAAAAAAACCCTATAAATAAGCCCAAAAGTTAATATATTCAAAACTACCAACAGAACAGGGGAAGAAGTTACTAGATAAACATAAAATTAGCTAATATTTTCCCAAAAAGTGAGCAGCTAGGGCAAACTACCAAATGACACAACATATTATAAAACTAGTGTAAATGTAGTAGGGCAATAGACAGCACACTCGACAAGGTAATGGAGTGCCATAGAAAATCCAAAAAAAGATCCACATTGAATAGTTTACTAATTTAGCATTTAAAAGCTAACATCAGAGGGAAAATTAGATTATTAAATAGATGATGTGGAGACTACTTGATAGTCATCGGGAGACAGTGTTCAACTGGAACCTCTCCTCACTCTTGCAGGAAATAAATTTCAGATGGGCCAAAGATGTAACCATAAACAAATGGAAACATAAAAATGTCAGAAAAAAAATTTTTAAATGATCTCAAAGGGGCCAGGGAGATGGCTCAGTGGAATAAGTGCTTCCCTGGCAAGCTCAAGGACCCAAGTTTGATCCCCAGTTCCACCAAAAAAAAAAAAAAAAAGATCTCAAAATTTAAATAGAACAAAAATCCAAATAGCAGCCAAGCATGATGGTATTAAACCTACTTTGCCAGCATTCTAAGAGGCTGACACAGGAGGATCACAAGTTCAAGCCCCGCTTAGAGAAATTAGTAATTCAGTGAAATTTTTGTCTCAAAATAAAACATAAAAAAAGGGATAGGGATACACTCAGTGCAAAAGTCCTGGGTTCAATACCTACCCATACAGAGAGAAAAAAATCTAGAAAACCATTAAAGAAACCTAGTAAATACAACTACCAAAAAAGAAAATCTCCTCCATTACTTAAAGAGCGAGCGAGAGAGAGAGAACAAAACAATCTGTTTCCTACTGATGGTTAAGAGGTTTAGTTTTTTTCATTGCAAATTGTGACTATCAATACACTTATGCACATGTGCATTTCTTTCCTTTTCTCTCCCTCTGCAGTACTAGTGATTGAACACAGGGCCTTGCACACGTTGAGCAGGTACTCTACCTCTGCGCTACACTCCTAGCTTCATATCTGAATTTCCTTAGGATACAGTCTTCAAACTAGAATATTACTCAGGCAAAAAATTATATGTATTATTATTGCTTGGTTGCTACAAACTTTATGGAGGACGATTCACTCTGAATAAATTAGCCACCTTCGAGACAGATGCTATCTTACTTTTTAATCTTTTTTTTTCTTTTTAATCTTTCCAAGTCTACAAAAAAAAAATCATTGTAGTTCTAGTGTATATAATTCCTATCTGTCTGATAAAACATCTTTACACACTTAGAAGGAATTTATCACTTTCCTTTTTTAATTAATTGCCTAGATAAATCCTTGATTTTGGATGGAAGGTGGTGCTATTTGTCATTTTCTTAACAATTCATAGATCACTATACTTATAATATAAATTCACTTGTTGACTATAAGGTTCTTTCTTCCAAATAATTTTCTCAGTCACTTACAGATTAGGCAAAGACATTTTTAACCATGTCCTATGAAGGACCTTCTACTGAAGGACCTAAACAGCCCAGCTTTAAGGAGCTTAAAGTAAGCAAGCTAGGTAACATACATCTATCTCAGTTCCCATCATGGCCCAATGGAGAGAAAGCAAAGTTTGAAAGGATCCAAAAAAAGGTCAACTAAACATTAATTTCTCTATCAAAGTGTTTTTACTGTATCTAGAACATCACATAAAATAGTCTAAAATGCAAATTAACTCTTGCCTATAAAGACTATACCAAAAATACAAACTTAGGTTTGAAAATTGCAGCCCGTTTCAGTCCAGTTATTCTTACTTTCATTATGTCAACAACCTCCTGTTTCACCCGACTTAATTCCTGTTGAAGACTGACGCGTTCTTGCTCACTTGCTTTTTCAATAGCTTTTATTTGTTCATCCATTTCTTCTTTCATTTTTCTCCGTGCCTCTTCTGTTTTCTGGGCAGTACTCAAAGCCTTTTCAAGTTCCTCAAAAGCTATAATGAAAAGAACAGAAAACAAGTATCTCAAGAAATATTATCATTAGGCCAAAGTGTTTTATATTCAATTTATGTAACTAAGAGCAGCTGTAGCAGGACAGGTTAAAAAAAAAAAAAAACCACACATAATTATTCTAAGCCAATAGATACTTCTGAGGTGTTCAGTCACTGCAACCATTATTATTATTTTTTTTTTTTTTTGGTGAATTCTAGATTAAGATAGTAAGACTGTTCATATAAATCTGACCTCAGAAGTTTGAAAAAATACTGTAACATTAAAGATTCCTCACTTCCCCTAACCAGTGTCCTTATAGATGAAAGATATATCCCTACTTCTGTACTATATAACTTCAACTGCTTTTTTCTTTGTGATATGGTTCTTAATTTATAGTGAATAAACATAAAATATTTTTGTATACTCAATAGGATATATTTAAGAATGGGGAAAAAAAGAATGGAAAAGATAATTCAATTCTTCTAACATCTTCTCAAGCATATGAAAAACAAGAAGTTTTGTTTCTTTTTTTAAGCATTTACTGACTAAATCACATACTTAAATAATGTACTGTTGGTTTTTGCCTCCCTCCCCTAAGCCCAATTCCAGAAAAGGGTCTGTGTTTCTCAGACTGGCCTCCAAATCCTCCCACCTCAGCACTTTTGAACTGAAACCTACTACTGGCTACAGCTGCTTTCAGTTGACTGAAACAAAAACTAACTGATTCAATAGAAAAGCCACTACCAGCAGGGAGTTTTTGAGTGAACTAAGTAGGAATTCAACCCCAGCAAAAACAATCACCTTGGCTACAGTAGTCAGATTGCTGAGAAGCTCAAATAGCTCATCTGGCATCCAACAAATCACATAGGAAAAGATTAACAGCTGGAAAATTAGACACTAAAAATGGGTATGTGCATGGATACAACTTGTGTGCACACGTGATACACACACACACACACACACACACACACACAGTATTGGCATAATGATATCTTGTGAAAACCCTTCTGCTACTGTCATGCTGCACTATTTCCTTTAGTTGTCATGAAGTAGAACATTTCCCATTACACAGAGATATATTGTAAATAAAAGTTACTGCTCAAGAAAACTTTTCAATGCCATCAAGAAATAGGTCCAGTGAAGACAGTTCATTGATCTAGTTGTACAAGATGTATGGGAATCTCAATCCAGAGCATCTCAGCAAAAAAGACTTGTATTAATCATAGCTCGGTTTTAAGAAACAGAGGTACCAGCACAGGAAGTGCACACCTGAGGACAAACATCAATTAAGCAATTTCTTAGTGGAAAATTCAGTTAAGTACAGAAAAGGAGTAGAAAGCTGAATTCTCATAACAACTGGAAAACAAAATTTAGGGCTCAACAGCTTAAAAAATAATTTCTATGGCAATCATATAGCTCTGATATAAAAATCTAATTCATTAATTTTTATACCTAAAGTATAAAACTGATGCTCAAATATTTATAAATACACTAATTTATAAAAGAACATAATTGGCTTAAGTCATTTTTCAAGATTCTTAATCTAGAGACAAGGAGATAGATAGCTCGACAGCATAAGCGCCTGCCTGGCAAGTGCAAGGTCCTGAATTAGATCCCCCATCCAAAAAAAAACTAAACCCCTAGCCAACCTTATCAAAAAGAGGAAAGAAAAACAAATTCAAATTTATGGAATAAGGAATAAAAAGGGGGGCCGGGGAGATAGCTCAGTAGAATAAGAGGAAGTGCAAGGGCCTGAGTTCAATCCCAGGTTCTGCAAAAAAATAAATAAAATAAAATAAAAAGGGTAAGATCACTACAGCCTACAAGAAATTAAGAAGATCACCAATATCTATTTCCAAAATCTTACAGGATGGAAAACACTGAAGAACTGGACATATTCCTGCATGCATACGAACTACCAAAGCTGAATAAGAAAATGTAAAAATTCTGAATAACTCAATAACAGTGAATGAAAATAAAAATTAATAAAAATTCTACCAACAAAGAAAAGCCAATGATGCATTCATAGCTGAATTTTACAAGAAATTTAGAGAAGATTTAATGCCAACTCTACTCAAACTCTTCAAAGAAATCAAAAGACAGGGGCCAGGCTGGGGGTTTGATTCCCAGGCCTGCCATGTGGGCCCTGCCCCCATGGCGTACTGAGACAGCAATTAAGACTGGGCGTGATTTTCTGCCGAGTTCCGGGAGCCCCCAGACCGAGTCCTAGCCCAGGTCCGGTGAGTGTGCGGAGAGCTTCCTGCTACCCTGCACCGGCGGGACCAGTCCCAGCCCAGGTGCAGAGTGGGCCAGACCCTGTCCCAGCCCCTTGGACCGACCCCCACCACTCCGCAGTGCCTCCCCCCCTCCCCCGCAGAGTAGGATTTTCTGCCGAGTTCCAGGAGCCCACAGACCCAGTCCTAGTCCAGGTCCGGTGAGTGTGCGGAGAGCTTCCTGCTACCCTGCACCGGCGGGACCAGTCCCAGCCCAGGTGCAGAGTGGGCCAGACCCTCTCCATCCCCTCCGGCCACCCCACACCACTCCGCCATACCTCCCCCACCCCTCCCACAGAGTAGGAATTTTTGCCCCGTCCCGGAGCCCCCAGACCCAGTCCTAGCCCAGGTCCCATGAGTGTGTGCAGAGAGCTCCCTCTTCCTCCTACTTCACCTTGCCCCCTCCAGGCACAGCTCAGGACTGGCATACAGGCCTCAGGTGTAATCCTGCAGCTGCAATCCCTGCAGGGGAGAGTGTAGAGGATACATCCATCCAGCTAGTCCAGGAACAGAACATCTCGCCACAGGGGCACAACAGGTTCACCCTTAAGGGCAGCAGCGGGAAGGATTGAGCACAGCAGCCAGACCCA